CGACGACGACGACTACTACTACTACTCCTACTACTGCTACTACTACTTCTACTACTACTACTACTACTACTGCTACTACTACTACTACTACTACTACTACTACTACTAAGTTACTACTAAGTTACTACTACAACGACGGCTACGTTTACTGCTGCATGCTACTGCTCGTCATCCTCCCACTGCAGGGGCAACAGCCGCAACGACGAAGACAATGACGAATGACGAAAAACGACAGACTAGCTGAGCGCCAAACGTCCGACACACTACGATGCACGGAATGCTTCTTTTTTAATCATCCACGAAGACAGTTTGAAAACCTTCGCCCAGCTGCCCAAAATATCAGAAGGGCAAGGAAGAAGCGCTGCATGGCGGCAGTGGTTCATGCAAACTGACCGGAGCCACCTGCACAGCTGCGGTACGCACGGCAGTCACAGGTTCGTTCTACTTCACCCCTTTCTTGCAGCTGGCTCTGAGTGTCGGCCAGCGACAGAGTAGCTGCAACCGTAACCAACAACTAGAAACGAACGCAGTCAAACTCGCCCCAACACTGCTCTTTTGCTGCCGCCGCCCGGCAAACCGCGGAGATTCTGCGACAAGGTCGCCTGAGCAGAAACAACTGACTGCAGGGGACATGCACAGGCACATGTACAGGAACGAACGATTTATGCAATACCGGCCAGGGGAGGGGTACTCTACTATTTCATACGTACGTAAACAAGCACTTCTAACTGCATACGCTAGCGAACGCAATGGCTGCAAACTACCAAAACGACGGAGGTCGGCGAGTGCCTAAGTACATCCTGACCTACATGCTTGAGCCATGCACAAAATCGTGTTTCCAGATGTTCTGCGGCTATATTATGTATGTATGTACGTACACGACAAAAGTGCTTTGGTTGGGGATGCACAAAAAAACGCACGCCGGGAATGCTTCGGCAGGGCAGAGTCCCGCAGCCGCTGAAGTGGAGCTCAGGCACACGCGCGCAGGAACCTTGAAAACGCAGGTGAAACCTGCACCGCGGGTTGGGAAGCGTTTTTATGCAGCACAAACTCATGAAACGTCATGAAACCCTAGAACCCTAGAGGCCCTAGAACTATCCGTGATGCTGCACGGAGGCCTCGCTTCGTCAGGATCTCACCGGGCTGGAGGGCCCGGGCCTGGGGAGTCGTTTTATTTTAGAGCACAAGCAAGAGCAAGATCAAAGACCGACGGAGAAACTACTAACTACTAAGTACTACCCATTAAGTTAACTACTAACCACCAAGTACTGAATACTAAGTAAGTATAATTTATAATGATAATAATAATCCTCATAATACCTACTGCACCTACTGCTTCTACTACTACTCCTACTACTCCTACTACTACTACTACTACTACTACTACTACAGCTACTACTACTACTACTATTACTACTACTACTACTACTACTACTACTACTACTACAGCTACTAATACTACTACTAATACTGCAGTACTAGTAATAGTCAAGTACTGAGCCATCTCAGATAAAGATGCTGGTTGGTTTCGATTTGCAGCCTCGAGCCGTCTGGTCTCGTGAGGCGCGGGCTTGTCCCCACTTCGGCTGCGACTTCGACCTGCGCAGTTCTGGTCTATTTCAGCCAACACTTCCTTCCACAACGAGATGTCTGCCTCACTGGGCTCCGTAAGAAGGTATGCTTTCTGGTAGTTTTTATCATCAGGTTCGGGATTCAACACTGGCCAAGTGACTCCGGCTTCCCCGGTCTTCACGAGGCTCCGCGAGCTGTATGGCCTGGGCCACGGCCGGTTGTCGTGGCGGGACATTGATACGCCGGAAATGCCAGAATTACAAACACACCACGGCGGGCGCAGCACGTCCACGAAGCCTGTCATCAGTCGCTTTGCTGCCTGGCAAGTTGACATTACCAGGACATTCCTGTAAGGCTACACGGGTGACGTGTATCATCCAAGTGATCCCAATCGCTTCTATCGATTCGTGTTCTGGACATCTTCGGCTCGCAGCATCTCACGACCATAGAAAAGCGACTGTCAGCAATTCGCTGAAGTCTGATATCGTGGTCAAGCTTTGCCGAGCCTCAGGCCCTCTGCCAAACCGGAAGCTAGGGCCAGGGCGACTGTAACGTACAGGGAGCTCCAACTTTGTGGATAAGATGCAGTGAAAGACTTTTCTCACTCTCGTTCTGACGACCACCACTTCTGACCTCAGATAAGAGCCACACATTCCGGAAACAGAAAAGTGTCTGAGCACGCCTCGGAAAGCAACTCGTTAGCTTTGCACTGCTGTTCACCTGTGTGCACTGTGCACTATGCTCAGCAGACGGGCTTTCAACCTGCTGCAGACTTGCTTCAGTCAAGCCTATCTTGCAAATGATGCGCACAGGACGGACGTGCCCCCATGACTTCGGCCCAAAATGCCCTATCTGCCTATCGAACTATATCCGGACTGAAGCAAATCCTGAGCAAGTTTTCCTTCCACTATAAGGAACGGCCCAGCCACAAAGAGACCCGCCGCTACCGTGGAGACAGCGGTTCATCAGAAGACATGTCTGTCATCTTGCGCTCCTTCATCACAGTCGGAAGCCCCGCAAAGCAGCTCCAGCAAAGCCTTGACCCTAAGCGGCTCCTCCATCTGAGCCAGTACCTCTCGTAGGGAGGGCCAGATTTGCCTGCACACGCAAGTCCTCCCTTTCCACACTCAGGAACTCCACCGTATGCTTCGAGACAGCAGTGTTTTCGGTCAGAAACTGCACCGATGCACTGCGATACTGAGACCGGTACCCTTGCCCAGCACACTTTAGACACAGCCCAGAGCCTCGAAGCACAAAGAGTCTGACTGAGGCAGCTTCTGGAGCAGTCCTGGCCTAGCTCTGCTGTCTCGTAGCCTCAGGCCACTGACATCGGAAGCTTCGACCCCGAGACTATCGGACTTGAACCTATTTCTCAAGACTTGAACAGAGCCAAGGCACCATAGACATCCCGGCCATCCCGAATGCCTGGGCACCCAATGCCGAACACAACCAAGCGGATAAAACTCTACACTCTGCCAGTGTCGCCCTCGCCCTGGAGAAAGCCGGAGCCTCCGCAGGCGTGACAACCGTAGACGCAGCGTCCCCGGAATGCATCTGCATTTCGAGCTTGGACCTCAAGTCTTTCTTCTGCTTCTGCAGAAGCAAGATAGCGACAAACAGCCGCAAAAATGCTGCATGACATTGCTACCACACGCCAGTGGAAAGCTAGTGAAATGCTTCCCTTCAAAAACATCTGTATCTCAGCGACAGCACATTGGACGACAGGTACGTGACGGAAAGGGTCCCCTCACCTTTGCACCTGCAGGCAGGATGTCAAGCAAGAAAGATGATGCGTTAAAGCGCTGGTCCTGTGTCGCAGTGCCAACAAGTAAAAGCAGCGAAGCTGCCTATTGCACAAACCCGAACCAGAGCAGGTAGGGCAGGTCCATGGCTGCTTCAACTCCTCGATGAGCTTCTCCTGGATGGCGTGTCTTGTCTGCAAGCAAACGTCTTGGTCTAAGCCTGCCTGTGCCCAGACTTCAGTACCTTGACTGGGTTCTTGTTAAGGGATTTAATTCAAGTTACCATAATAGGGAAACCATATTATTTACTATAGATCCCTATTATGGTAACTTAAATTAAAATACTTAACAAGAACCCAGTTGAGAACCAAGGAAGTTGAACTTGCATGCCTTGTTGGAAGAGCTCTCCTGCAAGGAAACGATCCGATGGGCGAAGTTCTGCCAGGCTTTGGCCTCAAACCCAACGACTCAGCTTCATTCAGATCGCAGAGGTGCTTCCCCTTTGTCACACATCGTGCCGCCGAGGTGCTGCATTCAAAGACTTCACCCGCGCTTCGTGGCGTTTGATCTCTTCCTCTGGTGCACGTTGGATTTGGGATCGCTTACGCAAGAGTTTTTCCGTTACTTCGGCAAGACTTCATACGGATGCGCTACTCGGTTGAAACATCGCAGACTCAGGATCATTGATGTTTTCGAACTGACAGCCCCGCCTGCAGTTCCCGCTGCTCCTGCTCCATTATTCGGCGCATCTGCTCTCGCTTTTCCTGCGAGGCTCTTCGAGCTCTGAACCGAAACTCAAACAAGAGCTTGAGGCGCGTCCTCCTGTCTGCGACGCCTCTCCTCCAGTTCTTCCCTGCTGGAGCCAGCTTCAGAGGTGGAGTTGTTTTTTGACTTTGTTGTGTTTGCCTTCTTTTTCCGTTTTGGCCTGGGGGGGGGGGTGGGTGAATGGGTGGGTGGGGTGCAGGGAGGTGCGGAGGGCTGCGGGGAGTTCCGAGGGGCCGGGAGAGGGGGGGGGGGGCGGAGGCCCAAGTCTTTACGTGCACTTGGGCTTCGAAGCAAGAGGCAGGCGGAAAGCCGAACGAGCCTAAGCCTCCGCAACATACCGTATTGACATGACGAAGATTGGATTTGATGAGATGAACCATAAAAAAATTGAGCTATTCGGTGGTACTGACTCAATATGACATGTGTATTGAGACTGTGCAAACTTTAAATCAAGGGTAACTTCCAGTTATGTTAATACTGCAATTTAGTGCCGGCGAAGACCCCAAACAGTATGGACGTAAAGATACGAGAGACACATAATATAGCGCAGGGTTCGTTATGGTGTCCTGCCAATGGATCAACTCCTCAAACTGGAGGGCTTAACAAGATTTAGGAATGCATCTAAAGCCAGTAAACTAGTTTCTCTCAGACAGCTGTCGGATCATTACTGCAGGTTCACGTCGCTTCAAAATTTTAGCCACTTCCGTTCCCAAACCGCTTTAGCCACTGGGAAACCAAATCAAAGCATGTTCGGCACGATTACTCGCACGCTCGCTCAAGACAAGCACGGCTTGCAGACAAGTCCGAAACTATGGCGTCTCCCTACTACATTTTCGGGTTTAGGGACGTCGTTGAGCTCTAGATTTGGTTGAAACCAGGGCCAAATGGATTTAGCAGGCATTGGAAAATGCATTTAACCCTTGAAAGAAGGAATTTGGGAGCCCTGGAAACCAAATTGAAGCATTTTCGGTGCGAATTTCGTGCTGTAGGGACGGACGGCATTGAGCTCCAGATTTGTTGAAACCAGTGCCATCTGCTTTCAGCAGGACCTGGAAAATGCAATGGGGCTTGGTCGGAGGCTTCGGAAACTCGATTTGCTCTGAATACGTTGTCCAAGCCTTGAAAATGCATGTTGGGGCGCTGTGCACGAAACTGCAGCATGTGTAGGACGATCTTCAGTCTAGGGACGTTGAAACGAAGACCAAATGCGTTTACAGGCCCTGGAAAATACATTTGAGCTTGGCTTGGGAGGCTTCGGGAGCTCGATTTGGGTTCGGAGACGGCCAGGAACACCGGCGAAGCTGAAACAGCACTAAACACGTGCAAGCCTTGAAAAATGCATTTTGGAGACCAAACTAATACATTTTCAATATGATTTTTTAGGGACGGCGTTGAGCTCCAGATTTGTTGACACGAAGGCCAAATGCAGTTAGCGGATCTTGGAAACTACATTCGGGCTTGGTCGGTGACTTCGAGAGCCCTCGGGAGTGGGGCCAGGGGCACCAGCAAGGCTGAAACAGCTCTGGATGTGCTTTTTCCGAGTCTTGAAAAAAACATTTTGGAGCCCTGGAAACCAAATTCAAGCATTTTTGGTGCGAATTTCGTCGAAGGGACTTGGCGATTCCTCGTGGTTATCTTCTAAATAGACTTATTCCCGAGCTGTAAATTCCGTCCCAGCATTGGGGAATCCTGTTTGACGCCCGGTTGCAGGCGGCCTCAAATTAGCTTCGACTACCCTCTCTGGGGAGTTAAACTCGAATCCCATTACAGTACTGGGACGGCACCTGAAGGGCACCCTGAAGCCAACTTGAGGCCAGCTTCAACGGGGCTTCTGAAGCTTGTGTTGGATTTTCTTGGGTCCTTCTTGGGTCCATGTGCAAAAGCCCAAGTTCTTAAGTAAGTTTGATAAAACAGCTCAACTTACTTGTGACAATATTTCGGGGCGGAGGAAACCTATCGGAAACTCCTCAGCGGGAGCCCGATTCACCTTTGGGGAAATACAATGGGCTGAACCATGTGTGGGAAGGAAGGCGGTCCCCACTACTATCTTCCCGGCGGTTTGCAAAGGGTGATAAACCGTCTTCCCGATAGCAAATCTTCAGAGCCGCGTTCCACCCATCCAAAGCCGCCTTTCATCCGGGCCCAGCCCAGCTCCAGAGCCGCGTTCCACCCCCCAGCTCCAGAGCCACTGGGGAAGGCTCCAGAGCCACGTTCCACCCCCAGCCCCAGAGCCGCGTGACATCCAAACGTGCAGGCCCCCAGCACTCGCGGGACCCAGCTCCAGGGCCATCCACACCCCCAGCTCCACACGAGTCTGAATGCCGCGTGCTGCCCATCAAACCCCGCGGGCTCCCAGAGCCGCGTGCCACCATCCCGCCAGGCGCTTCTTTTGAGGAGAGGACCCCAGTTCCTGCTTTGGGGAAAGATGTTACAATTTGGCTTAATGTTAAAACAAAGACTCGTATTTCTATATGATTTTATATCTATACTGTATCAAGATTATGCAGAACTTAAATTGCTAATATAGCAATAAACAACTGATATTACCTACGATTGTTTTATATTCATAATTTGAACAAAAGTTGCTATTCTGCTATGGTACAAATCAGCATATAATACCAGACAAACTTTTAGCATATTTACATATATATATATATATATGTGCATGTATGCATGTATATATATATATATGCTCACCCCACCCCACCCATTGACAGACCCTGTGTCTAAAAAACAGCACAGAGGACGCTCATCTAGCAAGGAAAATCTTTGCAGTCGATGCAGAACATATACATGTAACATGCCGTATACTCAGGACATGGTTTAGATGCGCGGATACGAGTAAGGGTAGCGGTGATGACGACGAACGGCGAATCCAAAACAGATCGCTCCTATCAGGCGCAGCTGTTGAGAGAGAGCTTCGACATGCATTGAAGCACAAATCGTTATGTTCGTGATTGCAGCCACATTGTGTATCTCACAGTTACAAGCCATCACGCCCGTCCCCGATTCAAGTGTCATGGATCCCGAGAACATTACTCTCGCGAACGCGGCGCAGGCCACCTCAGACTTATGGATACGTGTTCTTCCGCAACATGTAAAAGTCGGTCCTATGCCAGCAGGTCCCGTATCTCCATTGACGCTTCCTGTTCGTGAGCTTGAATCCCGCCCTGCGACCCTCAAGCATTTCCTCGACATCATTTACGACTTCGAGGGACCCATCAATCATGATCAGCTAGGCCCCATCCTCCGAGATCAGGCTTGGGATGAGCTTCCAGCTCCATTCGGACTCAAAAACAAGTTAGAGGTGAAGTACTTGATGCAGGTCTTTATCCGCACCCAGACAAACGGCAAGCACTGCATCGTCAAACACATTTTCCTCACCGACAACAAGATCAAAGCTTCACTCATTTGTGGTTGTGGTTATGGCCCTTCATGAGGTCGTTTGGGGACCCAATCCGAAAACCACGAAAAAAGCTCTGCAGTTTATGTTGGGGCAAATGGGCGGCATCCAATACAGACTTTTTGCTCTTGCACCCGAACAAAAGAAGAAGGCAAAAGCTGTCATGGAGAAATCCGAGGAGGAGCTGGAAAAGGGATTTCAGTACATCCGGGATCATGGTGAGAGAGATAGGGGGAATTTGAAACAGCTTTTATGGATTCAGAAGAGCGTCGCGGCAAACACACCAATAAAGGGTTGGAAAGACGGTCTCGTGCAGCGGTGCCTCGACAGCTTAGCCACGGACTCAACCATGGCGGACTTGATCACTCGTTCTGACTTGGTTATTTCTGACTTCGAAGATGAAATCCAGGATCTCTTTTTCAAGATTGTGCCCTACCTTCGCGAGCATGCTATTTGGGTATTGGGAGAATCGGGGAAGGGCAAAACACCGTTGGGAAGAGTTCTAGCCATGATGTTCAGTCGGTACCATGGCGGTGTGGGAAGCTACCGCAGCGGTAGTGACTTTGACTACTTCCGAGGATGTCCATTTTCGACAGCTGTCCCAGCCATTTACGATGACGGGGAGATCGGGCTGGAGCCGGTGAAGAAAAAGAAAAAGCGTTTTCGGATGTTGCGGATACCGAGACACTCACCCGTGAACGATGGACAGCAGCGAAATTCAAACAAAACCAACTTCGTGTAGTCATTGACAACGCATACGAACGGGAGTTTGAGCCAGAGATTGTGCCGGGACCCAACCCAACCATTTCCCATGAAGACTTCGTGAAGATGATTCGCCCAGCACTCGGAAACTTGTTTTGATTGATGGCACGCGTGGTTTCAGTGTTTGTTCATTGTTGTCTGTATCATATGTGTTTTTGAGTAAAACGTCTTAATACAAATATAATAAATCCGATTTGTTTTGAAAGTTTATACCAAACTAGCGTATTTTATTAAGTTATATAATATTGAACACACCCCCCATCCTATAACAGTCGGATACTGGGTTTCCTATATATGGACCCCCCAAAAAACAGCACGACACTTTACGGGGTGCTGGAGTTTGACATAGTTTGACCTTTCTTGCCCCCACCCCACCCCACCACCACTGCCACATTTCCGCCCAGGTCCTCTTGTGCCTTGCAAAAAGCCACAAGAACCCGGGCCCATTTTTCGGGCCCCAGGCCCAAAACCAGCCCCCCACCCCTTTTAACACAAAGGCTGGATTTGTGTTGTGCTTTTTTGTGCTTTTGTTTGTGGGGACTGCTACAGGGTCGGGGGAGTATTCAAGAGTTATATACTTTGTGGGTTTAGGGCTTAGGTGCCATACATACGAGCATTGAAAGGAGACATGTCCGCCGTCGACACCATGGCAATCTTCAAGCGGTCCGTATTCTTTCTCGTCACTAAGACCTCCATCTACTGGCGCTTGCCCGGTCCTCTCGAGAAGGAAACTGATCTCATCAAAGAAAGTGCCAAGCCCATCATTGCTAACTTCAAAAAGAAGGGCCCCGCTCCCGCAAATCAGGAGAGTCGGCTTCTTTGGGAAAATGCGTGGTTGCTCGAGGCCATTCGCCAACATGACCATCCAGATCAAGCCCCCGTTCCTCGACCTTGCCCGGAGTCTATTCGTGTGAAGCGGGAGCGGTTGGCATTCGCGCAGTCTCTTTCTTCGGAATCGGTTCGTGCACCCATTGAGTTGGATTCCCCATCGCCGGCAAAGAGGGCTAGACAGGACGAAAACATTATTAGGAATCCGGAGTTCGCAGGCTTGCCCCCAACCCCGACGCGGATGAAGAGTCGGAGAGCAACAATGCCGCCCTTGAGCATGATGATAAGGATGACTTAGAGCAGAAGCTTGAAAAGATTATCGAGGAGTCAGACCAGAAATCGGATGATGATATGGGTGTGGTGGAGTCAGCGTCCTGAGAGCCAGTGCGAATGCAGATGACGTCATACTTTAAACAGTTGTGCAAACGTCAGGAACCGCGACTTCCAAAACATATATCCACGACTATGGTGTGTTAAGACAATATAAATTTTTACATGTTCTAGTCCAAAGCAATGCTGATACAGATCGGTGCTGACTCAATCCGATGGTCGTGGTCACCACAGAGAAACATTTTGATATCGGTTTCTCCACAACGCCTCCAGTCTGATGCTCGCAGGAAGAAAATG